AATGGACTGTGTTGTGTGTTGTGTTTTTTTGTGTTTTTTTGTTTTGTTTTGTGTGTTGTGTGTGTTGTGTGTTGTGTGTTGTGTGTGTTGTGTGTGTGTGTGTGTTGTGTGTGTTGTGTGTGTTGTGTGTGTTGTGTGTGTTGTGTGTTGTGTGTTGTGTGTGTTGTGTACCTGATGAGTTGTGGGTTCATAAACTCGGTCCGGACTGATCCCAGGATTTCGTTGAGTCCATATTCCACCAGACTGAGTTCCCCGGCGTTAAAGATCATACAAACCTGAAACCCACACGGGAAAGTCCCAGAATGAGCTTTAATCTGTTCAAACCTCCAGCCTGACTCACATTTACTCAAGACTTTTTTTTTTTTTTTATTCAGTTTTATGTTTTAAATTCATGTGTGTGATGTTTGTTTCTTACAGACTCGTTTTCAAAGAAGAACTTTTCATTTCCTCCGGATCCGGGCCACAGCACCTGAAACACCAACAGACAGAAGCTTCAGGGAGCAGAGAACTGAGTCCTCCTCACTCCCTCTGGATCCAGGCGTCTGCTGCGGCGTCTCGCAGCTTCACTGTAATTTTACACTGTTGAATTTGAGGAAAATATTTGTGCTGAAAATTTGAAACGTAAAGTTCTTATTTTTAATTTGAAACATATTGAAAAAGGACACTAAAATAAAGAATAAAAATGATTCATGTTTTTTCAGAGTAAAAAAATTCAAGGTGAGAAATTCAACGGGATTTACAAATAGACGCCCCGCAAACGCACGCCCCGCAAACGCACGCCCCGCAAACGCCCGCCCCGCAAACACGCCCCGCAAACGCACGCCCCGCAAACGCACGCCCCGCAAACGCACGCCCCGCAAACGCCCGCCCCGCAAACGCACGCCCCGCCCCCGCAAACGCCCGCCCCGCAAACGCCCGCCCCGCAAACGCACGCCCGCAAACGCCGCGCCCGCAAACGCCCGCCCCGAAACGCACGCCCCGCAAACGCCCGCCCCGCAAACGCACGCCCCGCAAACGCCCGCCCCGCAAACGCACGCCCCGCAAACGCCCGCCCCGCAAACGCACGCCCCGCAAACGCCCGCCCCGCAACGCACGCCCGCAAACGCCCGCCCCGCAAACGCACGCCCCGCAAACGCCCGCCCCGCAAACGCACGCCCGCAAACGCACGCCCCGCAAACGCCCGCCCCGCAAACGCACGCCCCGCAAACGCACGCCCCGCAAACGCCCGCCCCGCAAACGCACGCCCGCAAACGCCCGCCCGCAACGCACGCCCCGCAAACGCCCGCCCCGCAAACGCCCGCCCCGCAAACGCCCGCCCCGCAAACGCCCGCCCCGCAAACGCCCCGCCCCGCAAACGCACGCCCCGCAAACGCCCGCCCCGCAAACGCGCCCCGCAAACGCACGCCCCGCAAACGCCCGCCCCGCAAACGCCCGCCCCGCAAACGCACGCCCCGCAAACGCCCCGCAAACGCACGCCCCGCAAACGCACGCCCCGCAAACGCACGCCCCGCCCCGCAAACGCACGCCCCGCAAACGCACGCCCCGCAAACGCACGCCCCGCAAACGCCCGCCCCGCAAACAGACGCCCTGCCTGCGGTTACAGGGGAGAATTCAGAGCTGCATTTTAGGAATCGATTTACAGACAAAACAGCAAAATGAAAAACCCGGGATCACGTGGAGCGGATTAATACGAACATTTTAAGAGCAGAACGATGAGGCTCGCAGCAGCAGTTACGGCCGACACACACTACAGGATTTGGAACCATTTTTAAACGTGCGACAGAAAGCGAACGCCACAGACACGAGGAGAATCTTACGAGACTTTAAATCCCCGATCGCAAAGACTGAAGCGGGATCTGTGTGCAGACCTTTGTGTCACCTGTTTCCTGTCTACAGTAAAACCACTCACTTTGAGACTCTTCAGTGTTCAAAGATCAGACTGTGCACTTCTAGTTCACATACAAAACAAAACTGGGTTATTATTATTATTTGTTCATTCAGTTTGTATTTCTTTGTGTCAAACACCAGGACTTTTCTGAAAATGAACAGGTCAGACTTTACCCACCCCTTTACCTGAGCAGTGAGGCCCCGCCCCTTTACCTGAGCAGTGAGGCCCCGCCCCTTTACCTGAGCAGTGACACTCCGCCCCTTTACCTGAGCAGTGAGGCCCCGCCCCTTTACCTGAGCAGTGAGGCCCCGCCCCTTTACCTGAGTATTTTCTGAGTAACTTTCCTTGAATCAACAAAAAACAATGAAGTCGTGCAAATGTGTTGGGGACGTTTCAGCCGCTGCTTTCACAAACGCTCTGATGTCGGGCGGTTGTCCTGTCTCCTCCCTCTCACCAGGAGGTTGTGGGTTAGACTCCTGATCTCTCTGATCTAAGCCCCTCCCCTTCTGTCCCAGGTGAGATCGACTAGTTTTGTTAATTATAAAAAACAACATTAAACGTTCAACATGTGAAAGCTTCCACAAGAGCAGACCACCTCTCTGTTGCCATGGTTTCCATCTAATATTAATACAGATGGAAAAGTACATCGTAATCACCGGGAAAATGATTTAGCTCCTCCCCTCTGGGACGATGACATCATCACATTCTAGAATCTAAAATAGTTTTGGAGCCTGAGAAGCTGTCGCCGTAGCAACGTGATGTTCTAATGCCGCCCTGGATCTCCATGGTGATAGAACTCTGCTTGATGACATCATCAGAGAAGCACGACGCTGCTTTAAAGTAAACTTTGAGTGACACAGTGAAATAAACACTAAAGTGTTAAAATACTTTTACTACTGCTACTTCAAAGCAGCGCTCTGCTTTATGACATCATCAGTAAAGGACAAGCACAAAGCACAAAGCAACTTACTGTTTTGAAGAAGATTATAAGTGTAACACGAAACAAACACTACAGACACAGAATACTGCCACTTCTACTACGACTACTGCGTGTACTGCGTGTACTACAATTACTGCGTGTACTACAATTACTGCGTGTACTACAATTACTGCGTGTACTACAATTACTGCGTGTACTACAATTACTGCGTGTACTGCTACTAGAGAAACTACTGAATATTTAAACAGAAAAAATGTCTTTGGAGACTGAGAACCAGGAACTGCACGAGTTGGTTCAAAACTTAAAAAAGCAGAACCAGGAACAAAACGAGACGATCCAAAACTTAGACAAGGAGAAACAGGAACAGCATGAGAGGATCCAAAACTTAGAACATGAGAACCAAGATCTGAGCAAGAGGATGGAAAAGTCCTTGGAGAGGAACCGGCATCTGCAGGAGACGATCCAGATCTTATCGGGCAGGATCAACTGCCACTTAGAAGAACAGCTCAAGGAACAGGACAAGTTCCACTCACAACACAAGTTGCTGGAGGAAATTCTGATGAAGTGCGACGAAAGAGTTGACGTCTGCCCTCACCTGCAAGAACTGAAGGAGGAACGTCGACAACATGAAAATTTGAAGGAGGAGCTGGAAAACTTGAGGACAGAAGTCGGTGCCACAGGCTCTCGTGAAATGTTTATAAAATCTTATAAGCGCATGTCCGAACATGTGAGAAGTATGGAGAACAGGTTATCAGAGGAGCGCAGAGAGAAAGAGAGACAACGACAGAGGAACACAGAACTGTCGGAGGAGATGGAGATTCTCTGTGATGAATATGAAAAGATTGAAGAGGAGAAAACACGTCTGAAAGAGCAAATCCAGCAGATGCGTGAAGAGCTGCAGAAAGCCCACGCCGAGCTGGAGAGATGCACGAAGACGTTAGCAGAGGAGCAGAGGAGAAACCAACTTCTCACACGACTGAAGGACAAATACGAACTCCACGACAAAGAAGAAGAAGACGAAGATGAGAGCGCGAGAAGAGAAGAAGAGGAGATGAAGGAGGAAGGGGAGAAGGAGGAAGAGGAGAAGGAGGAAGAGGAGAGGAGGAGAACGGGGAGGAGAACGGGGAGGAGGCGAGTGGTGGAAGAGAGAAGGCTGGGACAAACTAGATGAAACCCCAGCTTAGACCTGGTTTAGACCTGGTTTAGTCCTGGTTTAAACCTGGTTTAAACCTGGTTTAAACCTGGTTTAGTCCTGGTTTAGTCCTGGGTTAGAGATCAGGTTTAGATCGGGTTTTCAGACCTGGTTTAGACCTGGTTTAACCTGGTTTAAACCTGTTTTAGACCTGGTTTAGACCTGGTTTAGTTCTGGGTTAGAGATCAGGTTTAGATCGGGTTTTCAGACCTGGTTTAAACCTGGTTTAGTCCTGGTTTAGACCTTAAGGTTACGACCGTAACCCCGGTTCTCTGACAGCATGAGTGAGTTTCTCACATATGCGGTGCGCCTCCCCGCGTACCCCTCAGACGCACTTTATCACTACGCCAGCCCCGATTGGCTGGCCACGTCTGACGCACAAGGGGCAGCCCCCTACATAACCAGCTGCCGTGCGCCACGGCGTCGTTCAAGGTTAACAGTTCTTCTCTCTCCCCGCAAGGGCGGCAGTCCGGTGCGATACCGCACTCATGCTATCAGAGAACCGGGGTTACGGTCGTAACCTTAAGTTCTCTTTCATGCATTCGTTCGGTATCTCACATATGGGATATATTTACTCCCGAATTGACGGACAAGCCAACCTCGATGATGCGTGACCAACAGTCATGTCCGGGTGCTCAGGTCACCGGCAGGTTTACACTCGACACAGCATGAGCTAAACGAGGCGCAGTAACGTCGAGTCTGTAGAACCTCATAAACGTTGTAGGGGAAGACCACGAACCTTCACAAACCTCTTGTAGCGATATTCCTCTAAACAACGCCCACGAAGTAGCCATACCCCTCGTGGAATGCGCACGCAAGTCAGCGGGAGGTTCGAGGCCCTTCGCCGTGTAAGACAAAGCAGTCGCTTCCACAATCCAGTGAGAAAGACGTTGCTTAACTTTGGTCGGTCCAGACCATGAAACGAACAGTTGCTCTGCCTGTCGGTGTCTGTGTGTGTGTATGTGTCTGTGTGTGTGTGTGTGTGTGTGTGTGTGTGTGTGTGTGTGTGTGTGTGTGTGTGTCTGTGTGTGTGTGTGTGTGTGTCTGTGTGTGTGTGTCTGTGTGTGTGTGTGTCTGTGTGTGTGTGTGTGTGTGTCTGTGTGTGTGTGTGTGTGTGTGTGTGTGTCTGTGTGTGTGTGTGTCTCTGTGTGTCTGTGTGTGTGTGTCTCTATGTGTGTGTGTGTGTGTGTGTGTGTGTGTGTGTGTCTCTGTGTGTGTGTGTTTGGAGGGCCCGTTGTCACAGCAGCCGTGCTTCTGTCAGTCTGCCCCAGGGCAGCTGTGGCTACACCAGTAGTTTCCATCAGCAGATGCAGAGTGAATGAATCAAGGTGAATAATGTAAAACGTCTTTGTGACATAAATGTGTGTGAAAAGTGTAGAAATAAAGACTCACATGTGTTTGGTTTTATGACACGTTTCTATTACAACATGTTTTATATTTGTCACTACAAAATAAATCAACTATTCTAAATATTTTAAAATATATCATTTCATCATTTGTAAATCTAGTTATTGAATAAAACTAGAACTAAATCTCACACAAAGTGGGATCTGGTCTCGTCTGGAAACTCTAGACTCTGGGTGTAAATCCTGTGGTGTGTGGGTTTGTCAGACTCTGTTGGCCTCGAGCGTCCGACCCTCGTCCCGTTTGTCTCGGTGATGAAGAGAGAGTCGCCCTCGTCTTCGTCGGGCGTCTCGTAAAGTCTCTGCCGTGTCGTTTGTCGTGTCGTCCGTCCAATTTAAAGTCCAGGTGCTTTTCTAGTTCTTGGTTTTGTAGAATAGAACCCAGAACCTGCGCTCGATATTTCTCACAGTTTGACATCAGTTCAGTTTGTGAAGAAAAGAGACGGTTTACGCACAAACACCGACTTTTTCTGACACTTTTCATTGAACCTTCATTGTTAAGCATTTATTTGTGTGACATCGATTTAGACACGTTTGGTTCTTGTTTACATTATGGCGAGGGTCCCTGGTCACTGCGGGCGAGTCACGTCGCACTATTGCATTTTTTGGCCACGTGCACTTTGTGATACTAACATGCCTTGATTTTTTGGCCACTAGGTGCATCGCCGTGATACTAACAGACCAGAGGCTGGAGAAGGGCCTGTTAGAATAATAATAATAATAATAATAATAATAAATAAATAAAGATAAATAAATTTAAAAAATCATACAGTTTTACCTCGCTGAGTTTGTGCGTGAATATAATATTATAAATAATAATTAGGGCCGGGCACGTTAAAGCGTTAATTTTGCATAGCTAATCAATTTATTAACACCGACAATTATTTTAACGCCGTTAATGCGATTTTTATTATTTACTTTAAAAAAAAAATTGTAATCGTCTGTTGCTCAGTGGCTTTTATTTTGAAAAAGTTCACCGCGAGCGTTTCTTTAAGTTTGACGTCTTTCCTTTACACTTTTTTCACTTTTTTCTGACCAAGTGAGATGCAATGTGTCCGAGCCTCCGCGAGCTGCAGGAGCCGGAACCCGCAGCCGAGCCCGCAGCCGGGCCGGACCGACCGGGCCGGACCGACCGGGCCGAACCGACCGGGCCGAACCGACCGGGCCGGGCCGACCGGGGTGACCGACCGGGCCGGGCGCTCCGGTTCACGGGTCTTTGTCTTCTCCTTGTTCCAGACGCCTCTGAGGCGTCCACATAGACGTGTCCAGTGCGGTTTTCGTCGCTGCGTCGCTATTACAGGGTTTTCACGAAAGTCCAGAAGATTTGGTGATATGATCCCGCCCATAACTCAATGAAATATGATTGGCTCAGACAACTGTCAATCTCAAACTTTGTTCCAGCCGCCGGTTCAGCGCTGCAGGGGGAGTCACTGATTTACCCAGATATATGTTCACTTATAAACTTGGACTGATATTTGTTGGGAAACAAAGGTTATTTATAACCTTTTATAAGTTAATATAAGTAATAAGTTTATAACTATGATCTAGAAATTATCACTAGTGTGGTGTTTATTACTCACTGAATAAAAAATATAGAAAAAATATATTAGTAGTACAAAAATTAATTCAATATTTTTTCTTGAGCCTTCACTGAAAACCTCGAAGGCTCTGAGGGTTCAACTCTGAAAGAAACTCTGTTTGCACAACAGATGTGTGGCTCTTTCGTTTACATTTCCAATAAAAGTGCAGCTGTACTCTACTTTTTTAATTCATTAATTGGTTTTCGTATAACGTGATTAATCGCGATTAATCGCACTCAAACTGCAATTAATCGGGATTAATATTTTTTATTTTTGCCCAGCTTATTCATAATAATAATAATAATAATAATAATAATAATAATAATAATAAAAGTGTACAGTTTTACCTCGCTGAGTTTGTGCGTGAGCAGGTCTCCGAGCAGCAGCGTGTCCGACGTGTGAGACACTAAATATCTGTCTCCTCCCAGAATCTTCACCTCCTCGATCTCGTATCCGTAATGCGACTTCACGATGACCCGAGCGCCCGTCGACAGGTT